TTCGTACCACTATTGGCCATATTTGCGTACTAAGGGAGCGTGAGTCGTCATTGATCTGGCGAAATGCCTGATCTGCCATGAACTCGCCCAAATTGCTCTTTGCGTCATCCTCAATAGGTCTAAACTTTGCTGATATCGCGGTATAGCGTGCTTCGTGAGTTTTTTCCAGAAACGTCGCGACTCGCAAATTTTTTTCCTTTATACCCCGTACCCGTTTCAGAGAGCGCTTTCATGAAAAAGACCCCCAAGTGGTCCCCGTCCGGATTTACCCTGGTCGAACTGTTAGTTGTCATCGCCATTATCGGCGTGCTGATCGCCCTGTTGCTTCCCGCCGTTCAGCAGGCTCGCGAGGCGGCTCGCCGAATGCAGTGCACCAACCAAATCAAGCAGCTCGGTCTCGCGATTCACAATTATCACGACACCTACAACAAGCTTCCTTACATTCAACATGCCGATGCCGGTTCGGGATCGACTGCTCAGCGTGGCCCTTCGTGGATCGTTCGCATTCTTCCTTTCATTGAGCAGACCGCAGCATACGACCAAATGGTGTTCACCGGCGACTGGAGCATGGCCGACGGTGTGAACCCGAATGCGAACCTGGTCGACGACTACTACGTCGACGGTCTCAACTGCCCATCGAGCCCGCTGCCAAGCATGGCCGAAGAATCGACCTCGCAGCATGGCACGCTAAACCTGCAGCGTCCGAGCTACGTTGGCATCATGGGTTCCTACTTCCAAGGCGGCACCAGCGGCACCACTTCGACAGAGATCGCTTACAACAACTCGTACGGCGGCGGCGGTAAGAACGGTTTGTTCGTCCACCATGGCGAAGGCGTTTCGGCCATTGGCTTGGAAGCGGCAACCGACGGGACGAGCAATACCATGTTGGTAAGCGAGCAAAGCGACTATTTCTATAAGTCGGACGGCACCAAAGTCGAACGCCGTAAGAGTGGTCACCGTGGCGGTGCCTGGAATGGCGGTGCGTTGAGCACGCAGTGGCTCGATTGGCCCGCCAATGCTACGACCATTCGATACCCCATTGCCACCGAAGGGGGCACCGGCAACTCGCAGAATTACCACTCGAACGTAGCCCTCGTTTCGGCTCATCCCGGCGGCGTGATGATGGGCCTGGGCGACGGTTCAGTCAGCTTCCTTTCGGAAACGATCGACTTCCGCACGATGACCGCTTTGGCCGACCGCCAAGATGGCGCCGTCGTTGGCGATTACTAATCGAGAAGGAGCTTTACCTACGATGAACCATTACGTTATTGCCGGCCGCTCGCTTGCGATGCTTCTCGGCGTGGTGCTTCTCGCAACGGGTTGCACCCAAGCCGACTACGGTGACCTCGGGCGCGTTTCTGGAACGGTTACGCTCGACGGAAAACCTTATCCCAACGCCGAAGTGACGTTCTCGCCAGAAGCGGGTGGGCGTCCCTCAAAAGGGATCACCGACGAGTCTGGCCACTACGAGCTGATCTACATCCGGACGACCAAAGGTGCTGAACTAGGCACCCATGCAGTCCGCATCACTACGATTCCCAAGGAAGAATCGGCTCCCGGTCAGGCCCGAAACGCGACCTACAAAGAACCACTTCCGACCCGCTACAACACACGGTCGGACTTGACCCACGAAGTCGCCCCAGGCGACACGACAATCGACTTCGATCTACAGTCGAAGTAAGTCCTGCCGCTTCATCGCATCCATTAAAAAGGGAGGCCTGATTCAAGTGATCAGGTCTCCCTTTTGTTTGCGTTAAAGCTGGCCAACTTAGCCAACCTTCTTCAGCAGCGAGACGCGGCCGCCGACGACCCATTCGGCCAGGTAGATGTTGCCGTTTTCGTCGAAGGTTGCTCCGTGTGGGTGGACGAACTTGCCGGCGACCCATTTGTCGGGCTGACGGCGAACCTGGCGGCCGTTGGCATTCACTGCTTTTCGCCACTGGGGATCGTCGTCCAAGTAGGTCAGCACGTTGTTGTCTTTGTCCAACAGCGTCAAGCGCGAATCCAATTCGCCGACCAGCATCACTTCGCCACG